TTTCCCTATCAGACAATAGCAATGTTGTAGAAAATGATTTCTATAATCCTCTAGCATCACCACTTGACCCCTTAGCCACTTATAACATTGTTTCCAAATAGATGAGGAGAAAGAGCATGAAAACCAAAGGTGAAAAGCACATTCCTCTTCTTGACAACAAAATGAACATGATAAATTTGTGGTATCCAACATAATTTTTCTCCTGTGTAGTTTGACTTTTATATGTATTCTATCTAGTAATGTTTTCCATGCAAAAGATGAAACTCTAAACAGACTAGTATACCTCATAGGCAACCAAATATAAATGAATATATAACAACCCCTAGTTGATGTAGCCAAGTATATGCAGATTTGACTACGTAGTCACATGTATTATCTTCCTCCCATATCAAACAATTAGCAAAGTCTTGTTTTAAGTTTGAAGCATATATGTCATGTAACAAGTTTTACAATAATTGTTTTTCCCCATTCAAACTACTCCCTCCTCCATCTTAGATTCCATTTCCCAATTCCTTCTATCTAACTTCCCACCTTTACAATTTTATTGGTTTGTTGCTTTAGGGTCGCATATAACCTACTATATTTTTAACATAGATTTCCCCATTTGTCCATTTATCCTCCCAAAACTTCACATTTTCCCCATTCTCTAATTTCCATGCTATTTTTTTTTTCAAATTAACTCTTGGTCACCAAATTCACACACATTTCCTAAATCTCTCCACCATAGTGACCCATTCCTAAGTCTTCTTTCATCCATTCTACCCTCATTGTCCCTATATTTTGCTCTCATTCTACCCTCATTGTCCCCATATTTTGCTCTCAGTACCTTACACCAAACACTTTCTTGTTCCTTCAACATCTTCCCCCTCCATTTTCCTTATAAAGTCCAATTAAAAGCCTCTAATTCTTTTATATAAGAACCACTCGTCTCCTTCAAGCAACATATATTATCTTATCCATTCTAACATTTTCCCACTTGTTTCCCCATTTCATAAAAGTTCATTTGAATGCATTTGAGTTTATGAGTAACACATTCAAGCATAAAGAAGAAAGATGAAAAGATAATAGTACTGACCTAACAATCTAAACTCATCGAGATGAGAAGGATCCAAAGATTGTGAAGGTGTGAGATTGTGAAGTTGACAATGACTTAAAGAAATTAATTTGTTCTACCTATCCCAATAAGATGCATTTACTTTTTTGTAACTCATCATTTAAGAATTGCATAATTAAAAGTGCTTGACTTTGAGTGATTTAGAGATAAGTATGCGAGTGAGGACAAATTATGTTGAAAAATATTATGTTCATTTGTGAGGACATTAGTTGAAGGGTTACCTACAAAGGATTTTGACTAATGAAGGGTTTCGACCAGTGAGAAGTTATGTAAAGAATCATCATGTGAAGAGTCATAGTATGAAGTGCCAAAAAGTCAAGCCACTAACACGTCATATTTGAAGGGTGTTACACCCCCCTAAAATCTGATAGGAATAGGAGGGGATATGTTTAAGAAATGAGTAATGATACACTTATAATAATTTATATAACATTTCTTGTTGGGCATTTGGTGGTTCATACACACACACATGTCTCCATATTAATATAATATTAACCATTTTAGGTCTAAATCCTCATGATTTTGCTTTTGGTGATCTTCCAAAAGACATCATATCAATGGAGACTATGTGCTTTATAAACCTTTATTTCACCTCATGATCCAATGATGTGAGACTTTGTTTGTACCCTAACAAACCTCCCCTCAAATAAAGGACCTCAATTTAACCTCCCTTTAGCGAAAACCTTTTTTTTTTCTTTTTATATAAGAGTATTCAATGGAGGTTCTTAGAGTTTTAGCCACACATGCCCAACTTTAGATACTTGTATTGTCGTTAGCTCACATCAACAAGACATGTCGCCTGACCTCCACACTTTTAGGATAACTTTCGACACAAGGGATTCCATATTTGGATCCACCGCCTCCCACTGCCAAATACTCGTTTAAAACTTTGAGCCGATCACCTAATTGACCATTGGCTTTGATACATTTGTTGGGAACAAAAAAAAATTTACGCATAAGGATGAGATATCACAAACAAGTCAATATCATAAAGAAATAGAAAAGGGTCACACAAAATTATGGTTTGGCCTTTCATGTCTATATTAACAAGGATGTTCATTATTTCAAAATTTATTACATGTATGTTCTTGAATATCCTGCCTTCAGATTTTGTGGATGAAACTCGAAAATCTCTCCTTACAAATTTTATGGGTGAAACATGAAAACCTCTCCCTCTCAAGTTTTCTAAGGAAACTTGGAAACCCTCATTCACAAGTTTTCTAGCAAAACTTAGAATTTGTCCTTCATATGACCCCCTTTCTAATTTAAGACAATGACCCCTTCTACAAGTTAGGTGATTTTTCTCATCTCAAGAATCTCTATTTATTGATCTTACGTCATAATTTTAAAAGAGAAAATAAATATCTAAAATAAATACAATATATTTCAATATTAAATAATATCTTAAAAAATTAATATTTTTTAAAATCTAAATAGTATCTCAAAGATTTGAGTTTGGAAATTTGAATTATTTTTTTGACAATTCCTCCCTCAATTAAAATTTTTAAATCTGATCTTCTTGTTGTCATTGATACTCATCACAAAATCTTCAATCATATTTTTTGCTACCAAGCTACATGAATCATGAGCTTTGATACCATTGTTAGGCACTCTGAACTCACACACACATGTTTCCACATTGGTACGATATTACCCACCTTAGACTTAAACCTTCATGATTTTGTTTTTGGTGATCTCCGAAAAGGCCTATATCATTGAAGACTATATGTGTTTTATAAATATTTATTATTCCTCATGATCCAATGATATGAGATTTTGTTTGTAGCCCAACATTTCTAACTCGCTTCATCATTAATAAATGTGGTAAATGATATGATGGAAACAAATAAATATATATATATATATATATATATAATGTTGTACATATTGTTACATAATTTTATTATATAAGTATCATTTCTCTCTCTATATATATATATAAACTCGTCTCCTTTAAACCTGAATATGAATTTGTCTCATATTTTGCTAGAATGAAGATGGGGAAATCTAAACTCAACCCATCCCATTGTCATGCCTAGTCCCAAGGAAGTGAATAGCCTTATGTCTTGATATTTAAAACGGAAACATGTTATTCTTCATTAGCAATAGGTAATAAATTTTAGACTTAAATATTGTGGAAAAGAGAAAGATAGTAACAGGGGTTGAGTAATGTCAATAAAAAATTCGACATTTTTTCAAAACAATGAAGTTGTATCAAAAGCCTTAAGAGTGCAAGCGAAGAGTTAAGAACAAAATACATATAATATTTTTATACTGATTTATCTCAACTATCAAGATTACGTCAAATTCTTAATTAACCTAATCAAATTTACTATCTTTTACAAAGATACAAGTATTCTTTCACTATCCACTTATAATTCAACCTAAGTATTTTTTGAGTTGTCTCTTCAAGCAATTACCCAAGTATTCTTTGAACAATGAAGTCTTTTCAAGCTTCAACAATCAAGTATTTCTTACAACAAAGCCTCTTCAAACTTCAAGTGATAACACAAAATTAAAGTTAAAAAATTACTTGTGGTTTCATCTTACTTTCGAGATATGATACAACCAAATTAAGTACAAAACTTTTTTATAGAAAGGATGAGTACAAATTTTACAATAATTGTTCTCTTTCTTTTCTAAGTCTTCAAATTTTTTTATATAGAAGTTTCATAAAGATATTTGTTGCAAATCCTTAAGAATTTCTCACAAGGTTACTTTGTCTATCTCTGTCTTCCTTTCTTGTGGAGAAAAGTGTCAATCGGTGCATTAAATATGAACATTAAATGTGTTTCACTAAATTTTCACGTTATAGCTAAACAAGGAGACTACATATCACCTTTAAGGTACCAAATAGAAGGAATTGTTTTGTGTGTCAGTCAAAAATGACTTTTTGAGACTTCACACACTTTGAGAGATTTGTTTGTCCTTTATGTGACAAAAAGCATGTCATTGTTCCTTTCTGAAATGAAAGTACCAAAGAAGTTTTATTCATTTCAATCTATTAAAGAATAACATAGATAAAGATAATATGGTTATAAGATATTATAAATTATATATATTAAATTCATTTGTTTTACACAAACAAAGTGGTTCTTCTAAGAGACTATATATCATCATAATCAAAGTCTATTTTATTTCGTCTTATAGTATGATCTGAAAAACTTTTCTCTAATAAAAGCATCCAAATTTGTTAGCATTAAAAATGATACTTTAAGGGATCCAATATCATTTTTGATCCAACAAATATATTTTTAGTTCTTTTAAATTTAAGGTAAATTTGTTTTTAGTCATATGTAAATTATTGCATAATTTTGTCATATAAGTATCATTTCTCTTTAAAAAAAATATAAACTCGTAGCATTTAAACCTGAATATGAATTTTGCAGGAATGAAGACGAGGAGAGCTAAACTCAATCCATCCCATTGACATGCCTAGTCCCACAGAAGTAAGTAGCCTTGAGTCTTGATATTTGAGAGAGAAACGTGTTATTCTTCATTAGCAATAGGTGATAAGTTTTATACTTAAATACTTTTTTAGTTTCTTAAATTTAAGGTAAACTATTTTTAGTGTCTTAAATCCTAAACCCTAAACTCATATATATATATATATATATTATGAGGATTATAATGCTCTCATCCATTTCAAAACTTTTGCTCCTTTAACTTTCTAGTTTCGTTTCAAAACTTAGGATCTTTTAGGATTCCAATGCTTCTTTATGTGATTTTTTTTTCCAATAATAATATTATTAAATGTAGTTGAGTAATTAAGATTAGTTTAAGTGGATCATATCAATGTCATTTTTTAGTGAAGTTTTCATATATCAAGAGTAATAATAAATATGGATGATTTAGTATGTCTAAATGTATGTAAATAAATGTTTTCTTATATAATATTTTTCAATGATACCCATAAGTAGTTGAGTATTTAAGTGTAGTTTAAGTGGATTATTAATGTTCTTTTATTTTATTTTTTTTAAGAGAAATTTGCATTTAGAGTTAATAATAAATAAGGGTAATATAT